TTCTAGAATTCACATTACGTGAATGACTTCTTCGTCTATTAACTTTTGGCATCTTGAATTGCTTTAATAAGTGATTTAAAAAATCGATAAATCTGAATAACTCTTTTATGATAAGGTAATAAACGATTTCGATCTTTGTTACGTAAAAATGTCGCCCATTGGTCATCAGACCGTCCATTCAAATGCATGCATGATGGCGCCACATAATAATCCACTTAACATACTGAATACCACAGCTTACAGTAAATTTGTATTTTTCCTTCGGAGTTTTGGTACAATCCTGTTAGAGATCAACTACTCTCTCAAAACTAAAAGTGCCATAATAAACCTTTTCTGATACCGAGATATAAAACCTTTTTTTCAGTTCTAGACAAGTTTCTTGAACTGGAAAAGGATTTAGTCGGAAAGTCCTAGCCTTTTACAATTTCTGCACTTGTTGAATAGAACAGGGAAAAGTTCAGAAAATGGTACTGGGAAATAGAACCTTAAAAATGTTCAGTATGACACATTTTCTTTTTAGAGAGTAGAAGCTCTGAATCCACTTCTATTGTATTCTAAATCGTTTTTTATCTATTATACCTTATTTTTACGAGTTTTGAATGAGAAATGTATTTTTTATTGAAAAATCACTATAGGCCGGTTTTTTCAACGCTAACGTTGTAGACGCCTTCTCTCAGTATAGGAAATGATATTAAAAAAACCGAGCTATACTTTTGTAGCTCTTCGATTGGCGCTTCGAATGTTGTATGAGTGGAAGCCCTATCTATCAGAAAAAAAAACTAGATAGATTTTCAAAATGAACTAGTACAAAATGAAGCGATGCTAAAAGCTGATTTGTCAGGTTGAACATGTAATATCCGATAAAGCTCTAGATAACGTTTTAAGACTCATTCTCCTACGAGGAGTTCGAAAATTACATTGGCGAAAGCAAAAAGTGGAACAGGAAAGAAATAAACGTTGTTTTTTGAAAAGTAATTTTTTTGCTGATTTTTAGACCCTCTCAGTTTTCTGCGCTTTTCTCGGTGAAAGCTTCGTTAAATCGAAAAAATAAGTAGGTATTCGTGATCAGCTTGAAAAGGCACATCTAATGATATGCATTTAGGCAAAAAATAAGAGCTGCTGTAATTTTGCATTACCCGCACCTTATATATCATATTAATATTATACAATTTAACAGGATTTATTATGTTTTCTTTTTATTTTATCAATTTGATTCTTCATTATGAACTCGACAACAATGCTTTTTTACGCATCAATGTAATCGGTTAAATAAAATAGATAGTGCAATAATTTATGAAAAAAATCTATGCAACAAAAAAAGCTGTAGATTTTCTTGATGTATGGAAGAAAATAATTTGAATTTTTCAAATGTTAATAAATTAATAATTGAACATAAGGTTTAAAATATCTGATAATTGAATATGAATAATTCTTTCTTTAAAATCACTATTGACAATTATCTCATTGTTTATCTGAATCGTCATTAAAAGATTTCTTAATAATTAATTTAATTTATACTTCTTTCGAGCAATAATTATGTTTTATTTTGGAAATTTTAAAATCTTTTATTTCCTAGATCATATAAAGGGTGTCCCAGAAATTTTGAGGAAATTTTAAAATTTATTGTTTTGGCACATAATAAACGAAAATTCTTCCAAACTTTCAGAGGTTAGTGTGCCTCCGTAGTACTACATAACTACAAAGTTTGAAGTGTATGTCTTTTACTACAAATGAGTACATGAGAAAACATTATCATACACTATTTTTTCGATTTTATCATCATTTTGATTATTACTTGTTAAGACAATAAATTTTAAAAAAAGACAGATTATCTTATTAATGTTTGTGTATTTGATTACCGTTGTGATCAATAACCAATTTTAATCTTGATGGTATTTTGTCAATCATTTTTTGACAGAATGAAACACTGAATGTCTTCCATTCTTTTATGATAACATTTATTAGTTCATCGATATTTTCATATTCCTTCCCTCTTAATTTCTCCTTCAATGCACCCCAAATGTTTTCTATAGGTCATATATCGGCTAGTTTAGCATCACAGTTAATTGGTTCAATTCGATTGGTAAAAACATTTTTGACAGCATCCAAAGCCACCGGCATTCTTTGTTTATTGTCTTGATCATCCTGGAAAATCACATCTTCTAAATTATCTAATTCTTTCGCTGCTTTTTTTGCAACAATTGTTTGAATAAACTTTGCATATCTATCACTGGTAAAATACATTTTTGTTCGACGATCAGTACCTTCTGGTCTGATATGATCCAACCATTCATCAGTAAAAATCGGAGATTGGCTCGAAAATAACCCCTGATAAGAAATACCACCCCATAAAATAACGTTTTTCTGGAATTTTTGTTTTGACTTAGTTTTCAACTCATATGGAATATCATTTGATGATTTAGGATAAACACCTTCATTATGTTGATTGGCTTGAGGAGTTAACAAGAATGTTCCACTAAAATCAGTATTTAAGACCTTATTCCATTTGTAAAATTTGGAACCTTTCTTCACACCATAATGCTTTCGTAAACGTTTTGCAATAGTAGCACGTTGAATCTTTTGATGATCTGTTAACTTTTGCACAGTTTTTCTTTTCCACCATTTTAATTTCAATTCATTTTTTACTCTCCAAACTGAACTTTTCGATGTTCTATAACCTTGTCTATTAAGTTTATCATTAGCATTTCTAATTGATGTATTTCGTTTCAATTCAATAGTTTCTCGTACGACTTGAAGATATTCAGGTGTAGTTGTTGTACGAGGTGCACCTGATCTTGGTAAGTCATCTATTGTCTTTCTCTTCAATATTCTCGAAATTTTAAACCATAGAGCCTTTGATGTTGAATAAGATGGTGGATTTTCGGATTTCATAATAAATCTTGTAATTTCCTTTGTTTTCCATGATGGATATAACTTTTTTAAATGTAATACCAACGAACGAAATTCTTTTTTATCTTTATTAGACGACGTTTGTAACATTTTGTATTGATTCAGTCGTAATGAACCAATATTAACTTTTATATATACATTTAATTGTCACGTGCAAAAATGAACATCCGGGGGTAAAAGAACAATTTTCTTTTCTCTTAAATTCTTTAATAAAAAACCCTGGAAACAGCAATTGTTTTCTCATTATTATATTCCATTATATGAATTTATATCGTTAGAAAATCGAAAAAATAGTGTATGATAATGTTTTCTCATGTACTCATTTGTAGTAAAAGATATACACTTCAAACTTTGTAGTTATGTAGTACTACGTAGGCACATTAACCTCTGAAAGTTTGGAAGAATTTTCGTTTATTATGTGCCAAAACAATAAATTTTAAAATTTCCTCAGAACTTCTGGGACATCCTTTAATTGTGAATATTCTTTTTATTGTTATTGTACTATTGTTGTATTTGTATATATTGTTAATTATTCTTAATCTAATTAATTAATTTATTATAAATAAAGAGAGTTTTAGATAATTTCAAAATAAAATGTTTTATATTGATAGAATAAATTATCTTATTATTTTTATTCATAATATATTTATTGTATGTGTTTTGTCCAATAAGAAATATAATATAAAACAAATTCATATTTATATATGATAATTAATTTATCTGTCATTATATTTCATATTATCAATTTCTCATAAAAATAATTAATCTAATTGATTTTAATCTACTGTCATCGGACATTGCTCTTATTGTCCTTCTCATTCTTTTTCTTTTTGTTTTTTGATATTTATGTTTATTAAGAGAAGTGCAAATATAAGATATTGAAAATGCAAGATAAACAAGGCTTTTCATGAACATTGAATCGATATTATTTATGATAACATATTATTTTTTGATCATATCAGTCAATATATGAATGATCTTCATCAAATGTCAACATATTTATCAGGTATAAGAACAATTTCAATACTATACATTGGACAAATAATTCAAATTCTTGAACATAACGAATAACTTTGAGTATGAGCATTGGCTTTTTCGATACAAACAGTCACACCCTCCAGATAGAAGACATTAGATTCCAATTAATTATTATTTATTAGATAAATATATTGAAAAAAATGTATAAATTTCTAATTAATGGAGCTTATAAAGATTTTTCCTTATTGGATCGTTCTTTAAATTTTTAGTTTCTATTCGAAATATTTCTGTTGATAATATTATCTATAAGAACGAGAATTATCATGAAAATTCTAGAATATTTAAAATTGTTCTTCAATGTATAAATTGTTTGACTAACAAATTATTGTCTCTAAACCGTCTTATTTTTGATAAAGTCCTATTAATTAGAGAGGTATATTGTTTAATTTTGACTTTAGTCAAATGTTATTCTCTATCAATAAAAACAATATCGGTGGTATATACTAGATTTTTTATACATTCCTCATGAAGAGTCAGATATATATATATCATTCACAAATATGGTGTCATTCGAAATTTCGTAGCTTCCAAATTGCGAACAAAAATTAAGCCAATTAAGAAAAAAGTGTTCGCAATTTGGAAAACAGAAAATAACGTTGATCTCATTTTTATTGCATTTCCAAATTGCGAACACTTTGATTAGCTAGTTATTGCAATAGCTGATCATGAGTTCAGTTTTATTAATAATATAAATATAGAAGCTTGAGAATAAGAATAGTATCATAATTTAAAGTATGAATACAAATTTTACTTGGTCAACTGCTGAAAGAGATGAAAAGACTATCTTATATAATAACCATTTATATGGGTTGAGACGTGAAAACAAGAACGGTTCAATTGTGTATATATGTACTTTCAAATCTTGTTCTCGTAAAATAACTTTGTTAATAAATTTTTTTCTAATTAAAACTATATTACTTAATTATTAAAACTGTTCGCAATTTGGAAACGCAATAAAAATAAGATAAACGTTATTTTCTGTATTCCAAATTGCGAACACTTTTTTCTTAATTGACTTAATTTTTGTTCGCAATTTGGACGTAGCCCAAAATTTATATAGTCTATTTCAATATATAAACAATCATTGATTCAATTACGATAGAAAACTAGAGAAAAATATAAATATTTATAGTTAGAATTTTCAATTCATTAAAATATTTGATCATATTTAACTAATAATTAATTTCAGAAACAAATTTGTGAATATATTTATGTTTTAACTGAATGAATATTTATAAAAGTTATTATATTTAAAAAAAAATCTTAAATTTGAGGAGAATACAGATATTTATCTAAATCTAGTTGCCATCTTAATAGAATATTATAGAGAGAAAATGTTGATAGATCTTCAAATTTCAAATAGAACATAACTATATTATTATAGCAAATAGGCAAATTATTAGGAGAGTGAATATAGAACGAGAAAAAAAGAAGTATCACAATGGAACATACGAACTATCTGTCTAAGATAATAGTGTCTGAAACCATTGATACAATATATTGAGGATGTGGGTGTGTCGGTGTGGTTGTGAACATAATAGGATCTGCAGCAACACCCACGTCCACTCATACCCACACCCGTTTGAGAAAGACTAAAAAACTGCAAAAGAATTACGCTTTCATGTGACAATGTCTAATTTTTACGAAAATAAGTTTGGCTCAGATATTTCTAAGAATTCACCTGAGCGTAGTAATCAGAAGAATACCAGCAAAACAGTTTTTTTGCAAGATTATAAAAAATGCACGCCTAGCGAATAATTGTGGGGTATTTTTTTAGTATTATATCATATCCAAAGTTTGCTATCGAATATGTATACCTATTTTTGTGTAAAAGTCGATTTTTTTCGTTTCCAATTTTCAATATGTAATTCACATTTTAAATTGTGATTTTTTACCTGTAACTGTCTATTTAATAAATTCTTATTTGGAAAAGCGATTAATATTTTTAGTAAGATTTAAACGGCACAGTAGTTTTTTTGCTATGCAAAGCTGCTAATAACATCATAAAGATCCGTAAATTTCCAGTGACAATAAAGGCTCTTTGTACATCATAAAAGTTACATACGCACTTTTCGAAAACTTGAATACATTATATGTTGATCCAATAACCTCTTTTTATGGTGTTTTCAGAATCAGATATAGCATGTCATAAATCACAAGTTCAATTTTTTCGTAGATTTTATTAGTCCCTCCTATGCACATGACTCTATTTTATTGTTTCGTAGCCATTAAGAGAAGTGAAGAGTCGATTCGATCGGTAGCGTTTGAAGAATTTCATTTGTGAGTTTTTCTCCTCCAGGAAGAATGATTGTCTTGGGTTTAAGCTGAAATTTTTGTTTGATCAATTTAGAGAGACTCGTAAGAGTTTTCTCGTTATGAGACAACGTAATCAATTTTTGTTTGTGATTTGGTGCAATGACGACAATTCTGAGCGAATCAAAATTCGTCTTGGATGGATTATACAGGGGTGAATACCCACAAGAACTTGAAGGGGCAACACCTAAATCTATGGCATCGAATCTACGAAGGTTTTGATAACTGAATTTGTTTGCTTTTGTAGGCAAAATAAAAATTTCTTTCAGCTCGGCGACTCTAGAAAAAAGCCTGAGAGATATTTATCGTCGCGATGATCGAAGATGAGAAAATGGGCCTATTCCATAAGGTTTCAGACACGTAATACTCTCCCTCGGATAAAAAAAAGCTATCATTTTCGATTTCATTTTTCCATTATTTAATACATTCTATTAAAAAACCTAAATATACTAGAAGATGCAACATGAAAAGAACTACAATATACAAAGAACAGACTACTTTATAGTTGCACCTTTTCCTTTCAAAATGAACAAAATTTTGAAGTACTAATTTTTGACACTTCGGAAAAAATAATAATTGTTTGGTACATGACGAATTCATTATTTTCTTATTTCATCTTTTTATCACTTGATACGCTTTATGAAAAACGGAACCAAATATACCATAATATGCAGTTTTCATGCTGCGTCTTATGGTGCATTTGGTTTTCTTTTTCATAAAGCACATCAAGTGATAAAAAGATGAAATGAGAAAATAACGAATTCGTCATGTACCAAATAATAATTATTTTTTCCGAAGTGTCAAAAATTAGTACTTCAAAATGTTGTTCATTTTGAAAGGAAAAAGTGCAACTATAAAATAGTCTGTTCTTTGTATATTGTAGTTCTTTTCATGTTGCATCTTCTGGTATATTTAGGTTTTTTAATACAATATATTAAATAATGGAAAAATGAAATCGAAAATGATAGTTTTTTTTTGTCAGAGGCAGACCCAATTTTTGTCTAACAAGCTGATTTTTTCTCCGTTTATAGAACGCGATGAAGTGAACATTTTTTAAAATGGCGCACATAAAGTATTTTCAGCCGTTACGAGTCTGTGCTTGTTTTGTGAGCTACATTTCGATAAAACGACTACTGCGACTTTTTGGACAATGCATAGAATACACTTAGGTCGAGATCCACCGCTATTATATAGTTTTTGGGTTCACAAAGTCTGATTGTCGGCTGTTTTGAGCTAAAACTGATCTACGTCAGTTTTAATTGTAGAACCTTTGCGACCCCATATTGTGAAAGATTTCGGCGAGCTAATTCTGAATATTGATGCGAAAAGTTTTTACACTTTGCTAAAAAACCCTAAATAATTGTAACATTTTATTCGTGGAGACCCTATTGTTTGTCACTATCAGTTTTCCGTGAATATAACTTTAAAACCCAAACAATATATAATTGTTAGAAAGACCGTGAGTTACTCTGTCTTCTGAGATACATACTTCATTTTAGCGACACAAACTGTAGATACTTCATAAACCACAATGCATCTAGGTCGAAAAATGTGGTTCGCCACTCTGCTAAATTAAATCGGATATAAGGAATTAACCAAACGCGAATCATCGTAGAGTTGAAAAAGCAAGCCTTTCTAACCAAAACAGCCACCTCAGCACTTTCCACCTACTCGATTTGTAGGAATAAAGACAACAGACTTTTTTATGATGTTCATAGGTGTCCTTTTCGAAAATAATA